GGTGTGTGTGTGTGTAGTGGGTGTGTGTGTGTGTGTGTGTGTGTGTGTGTGTGTGTGTGTGTGTGTGTGTGTGTGTGTGTGTGTGTCTGTGTGTCTGTGTGTGTGTCTGTGTCTGTGTCTGTGTCTGTGTCGGTGTCGCGGTGTTGCGGTGTCGGCGTGTCGCGGTGTCGGCGTGTCTGTGTGTCTGTGTGTCTGTGTGTCTGTGTGTCTGTGTGTCTGTGTGTCTGTGTGTCTGTGTGTCTGTGTGTCTGTGTGTCTGTGTGTGTGTGTGTGTGTGTCTGTGTGTCTCTGTGTGTCTGTGTCTGTGTGTGTGTCTGTGTGTCTGTGTGTCTGTGTGTCTGGGTGTCCGTGTGTCTGTGTGTCTGTGTGTCTGTGTGTCTGTGTGTCTGTGTGTCTGTGTGTCTGTGTGTCTGCGTGTCTGTGTGTCTGTGGGTCTGTGGGTCTGTACGTCTGTCTGTGGGTCTGTGTGTCTGCCCTGTGTCTCTGTGTACCTGTGTCTCTGTGTCCCTGTGGCTCTGTGTCCCTGTCTCTGTGTGTCGGTGTGTCGGTGCGTATCTCTGCGTGGGGTGCTTCAGAAGCTTTGAAAGGCTTAGGCGTAGGCTTGGAGGTCTTCGGGCTTGCGTATTGCGGGTTCATCGGTTTTTGGCCTTCAGGTAGACCTCGGTTTTACTCAGTTTGCCTTGCAATTTCAGGAAGAAAAGGCTGCAAGCGTTTCAGTTATAAGTTGCTCGCACGTTCATCTTGATGGTGGTACAGCGGACATGTTTTTGCGGCCCTGCAGTCGTGAGGTGGCAGATTCCTTGAAGGCGAATGGTAATGAACCTGTACTGGCAGCAGTTTCACAACACGTGCGTCCGTCCATGGTGCACGTCTGCCGGTTTCTCCCTCTTCCCACTCCCTAACTCAACTTCCCTCTGATGTTCAACATATTCAGCGCAGCTATTATGTAGCGGATCCTAAACAAATCGGGAAATCGAAAAACGCCGCTGCAGCGGACATGCTGACAGCAAATCAGTGCCTCCAAAGCGCAGATGGCCAAAGCAAAGCAGTCCAGATGCCTCGAGTACCTCAAACATCTCAAGTTCTCAGAATGAAGAAAAAAACAAAAAACAAACTTCATCAAACTTTCCAACATGGCAGCGACGGCTCGAAGGCCGGCCCAAGGCAAAGGCTGCACCTCCAGGCATCCCTCAAGAGCCTGCCGCGAAACGCCGCGAGAAACGCCGCGAGAGAAACGCCCTGAGAGACGCCGTGAACAGGCGTCAAACGGAAGGCCTGTGGGCCACGAAGAAAACGAATCCAGGATGCTGGACCCCAATACCTTCCAGAGACTCACTGAGCGGCAAAATTCAAGGCATTGTAATCGTTATAGCCTTGCCTTCAACCTGCCTCACAGAAGACAAAAAGTCTTCTGCTGCAGCACCAGCCTGGCATCTCCAGTCGGGTTCTCGAAGTTCCACGAGCCCTGGCTCGAGCGCTCAAAGTGAGAAGCGAGCGTTCATGTCGCAGCCAAGATCTCATGCAGAAGGGCAGTTTGGCAAACATTGGCAACCCATGTAGACGGGTGACTACATGAGTTTAGCGGCCGGTTGGCGGCGATGGAAGACTCTGCTTTCTACCCTGCATCCTTTTGCCATGTCGTTTGCAAAGGTTCTGCATGTGGCCCTCCTTCTTTGACTGTTCTTTCGCTACACATTGAACCCAACACATCTGAACTCTGCAGCGGGGGTATCCCCATAAGGAAGAGACGGAACGCCATTGTCATTCGTGTTCGGACAAAGTGAAATTCAGCGCATCCCACAGAATAGAATATCCCTGCAGTGCCAATCCCGGATGGTCCTACAATGCCCGTCAAATTGCATAAACAACTTTGCTTATTGGGGGGTTATATCATGAAATTCTGGAGGCTCGGAAGGGGGCGGAAATTGTAATTCAAAAAACGAGACGGTCTGCATTCGGATGTCCACGATTCTTTCGGGGGGAAAGGGAAGAGAGGCACATTGTCAAGATACTGCAAAATGTCGGGGGGGGGGAGGGGAGGCCGGCCACCTTCTGAGAGGGTCGGACTTGTATCATGAAAAACAATGAACTGGATTGAATTGGTTTCCGGGTCGGGAGGGGAAAGGCGGAATCGCAATTCTTAACAATCCGGGCTGTGCAATTGGTTGTTCTGAAAGGAACTATGGACAGTTTAGACTGTTGGAATAATGAAATGGTCTCCAGATGTCTCCGTTTGGGGAACCAGTAGTTTAGCAAAGCATCTTGGGCAACTGCTTCGTACCGTTGCCACCCGTTGCCTCCATGCCAGAGCCGCTGCTCCACGCATCGAAGTCGACGCTGGAGCCGAAGTCCAGCAGGGTGAACTCCGGACAATCCGAAGTCTCTCAATTCTTCATTATCAGAAATGCTCGCAGCTTGGCAATGCATGGGACAAGGTTTGTGCACATTTGGGCACTGCCTCCAAAGCCGAAGCCTCCGAGGGCGCCACACCGGCCTCTTCAACACTTCCAAAAAGACTGCGACACAAGGGGAGACAAACCGACACACCTCCCGAACTTTGATCTTGGGTTCAGCCTGTGTTACGTGAAACTGCAAGCTGTATAACCATGGAAGCATCAATCTGGCTCCTAATCCTCAAACCTCTCAGATCTTTCGAGTGGCATACATCAGTTTGTGAGCAGCAAGGTCTACTCAAAAAACTCAATTGGCTGACCCACATTTACAGTTTCATCTCATCCCATCACCTTGCCAGGTCGAGCTTCGGAGCATGCCACGAGAAGGTTCCTGTCCGTCCACACTTTGCGCTCAAGTCTCAACTTGAACGGCTTGAAGCTGAAACTTCGAAAAAGTTTCCAGATGTTTCACAGGTTCTGAATAAGGCCGCTCTAGCGAGGGCATCTCTTCATGGATCCATGTGGCTTCCCCGGCCTTGCATTGACGTCACGGTGCATAGCAATGCGACCTCTTCGAACGATTAACAGATGAGTGTACATATCATGAATGATGCAAATGGCAGGTCTGCCATGAAGAGACCGAGCCAAGACAGGCCAAGAGTGTCCGGTGACTCGGTTGCGTGCCGTTCAATTCCTGGAAGGTTGGTGTAAGCTGGCAGAGCATCTCCTGTCAAACATGCACGAACAAGGACATCACATGTTGCCACAGTAGGTGCTGGGATTCTGCAAGCGCCTCCACGTCAAGCTGAGAGTCTTACAGAGCGGATCACAAACAACAAACTTTATTCTTGCCAGGTGTCCCTCGCAGCAGCTGCAGCAAGCAAGAACGAGGTGCAGTACCTGTACAGCTCTGCATCTTCAGTGGGAAAGCTGTGGGTCCTTCATACACCCCAATCCCTTGTGAACCGAGAGCAACAGCCAATGAGCTTGTTTCCATCCTGCATTCCGATTTATCCCACCAAGACCCTTAGGCCACAGCAGGCACAGCCCTCAGGCAATTGCTGAGCACTTGACGAATCGGCGCTGGGAAAGCCAGCCGGATCGTGCAGAAGCGCTCGCTCCTGGCACTTTTTTGACATGGCTCTTGCATTTGCTTGGTTCGGATATGCGATATCAGGTCTGGTTTGCCTCGAGCCACGATATCAGGGCTTGCCCGCTCCGCCGTGTCATGACAACCTTCAAGAAAGCAGCAAGTCCGAGACTCGCTGCGCGACATACTTACTGAGCGACATGGATGCTGAAGTGATGGCTGGGATGGATACACGACAGAGGTATGCGCCAGGTTCGGCAGGTGATAGATCCCAAATCCTGGCGCACACAAATCGTGGAATACTGCTGGCATCTTCGAACAGCAGTGCTGGGCATCGAACTGGTGATCAAGGAGACGTGGAACCCGCAAACCACCTGGTGCTGCAAGGCCAATCTCCCAAGTTAGTCGACAAAATAAATCTGACTTCGATCAAGAGGCCATCGTCCGAAGCCTCTGTCAGATGCCTCATGACCTCACTGGTGGCTAGCCCTATAAGAGGCACCGCATGCGCAGTATCAATCATTGTCAAACCATCACGACCCAGAGCGTTGCCTTGATCTCGAACATGGCCCTTTCGACACTTGCGTCTGGAAGTATTCCTGCTCCTCTTCCACAGCGCATCTCTTTCACAGCAACCTCAGGAGCTTGAAGACGCCAACAACTCCAGAGAAAGAGAGGGCCGGATGAGTGCGTCCAGCCTCTTGCCGGCTCTCCTGGACGAAAGCACCGAAGACCTTGCGAGGCCAAGATCATGAAGATCATGCCTAGATATGATTCCAGGTGTATGTCTGCTGAGATGAGGACCCTGGCATAGGCTCCTTCGCCAATCGCCTGCCATGTGGGCGCCCATACGAAGCAGGAAACACAGTACCCGCACAGCACTATGAGTGCCGATGCTAGCCCAGCCTCTCCTACCCGAAGCACCATTTTGCCCACAGTGATCACCTGATCCGAGCCAGGACTCGACGGGCACCGCTTCTGATTGCAACAGGCAATAGCCATCACCACTCACTATTTTGCAACACAAGATCCTAACCTCTTGACAACAAAGAGATGCCTGCCCATTTACCAGCGGGAGTGGGTCACAAGGCAGTTGTGGCGGTTGCCATTTGAGCTCCTCCGCTTGGAACACGTGCCGTCAACTCACCCGTTAGTTTATGGCAGAGGCTTCAACGGCTAAGGAAACTGTTGAGGGGAACTGGTGAGAGGAACTGGTGAGGAACTGGCGAAGAAGGCTAGTGGCGACAAGGATCCTGAACTTACAAGCTGCGACTTAGAACTTCAAGCTGCGCTAGCGAGTTCTCGCAAGACAAGTCCAACCTTTGTCTTTGGAGAGACCGCAGGAAACCAGACTGTTGATGCTTTGCAGTACTCGCACAGGAGAACGTTTTACTGGGGCGTCACGGTCTCCAGTCCGAGCGATTGAAAGCATTGATGAGGAATGAATCCGCTGAGTCGAGCAATGCTTCTTCGGTGAAACCCAGCTGCCAAATCCAGTTGACCTTCAAGTCAACCCCTCATACTTGAGACCTTCTCCAAAAGGCAAAGAGGCCGATGATCAAAACAGGCACTGCCAGAATCACGCTGAGATTGTTCAGATACATCGTGGCATCGTTCGTGGCGGGAATTCCAGTCTGCACCTCGAAATGTGTCTGAGCACAGAGATCTTATGTCCATGTGTGCACCTGTCTGCCGGCAGCCAGGGTGCTTGCTTCTGGAGCTTACCCAACTTCTCCATGGCATCGGGCAACTCAGCTTCTTCCAACGCTCGGATGAGTGTCTCGGGGCTGTCAGACACGCAGACCATTCTCTGTGATGTTGTGGAAAGAAAACCTGCTATGCACGCGCACTCAAAAACAAACACCCACGGCCATGAACAGATTTGCTCATGCCAGGTGCTGATTCAGATAGCAATTACATAGTCCCCACACGTTCCAAGATGAAACATGCGACATTTGTTTGCACATGGGCTTCTCACAAGCCCAAAGTTGCCCCACATACCGACAGAGATAACCCAGTGAGTCGTGAGCAATTCTATATGTTACAATTCAATGTCATCATCAAAATGAACGCCCAGACGTGGATCGTTGACTCAAGAAGTCTATTCTTAACACGCACGGAGCACAAAAAGCCTTGTTTGTTTTCCCATATGTCTGTGCTGAAATATCACCACAGGCTACTTGTTCACGATCTTCCTCAAAATATGAACGTGATGCAAATGCAAGCGTCATAGTTTGAGAAAGCACTCACATCGGTCTGCGGCCAGACTTCTGCAAGCACGCCTTCCACTGTCCACCACAGCCTTTCACAGTCCATGATGGTGCTGCACGCTGTTGCACGCACAAGTGCGCCGTGCGGAGGTCACTGTCTTTGCGCACTTTCGAAGCACGAAAAAAACACGGCGCTAAAGGCTCCCTATTCAACCTGCTTCGAAATTTTAATTTTCGGTGCCCTGCCTCTCTTCTACAAGTACTATTGCATGTCATCGCACATCAAGAAACGGGTGGGCCCAGCAACACCCTCACAAACCACATGCGGCCATCACCAAAGACACTCGAGCGCAGTCACGAAATGGCAACAAGAAAGCCGGCAATCCCAGCAAGACAACCTTTGTTTCCCCTCCATGCTAATTGGAAACCCTTCATTTCCACTGTGTTTTGAAAGGGAACGCTCTGTTTCCTCTGTTTGCAACACTGGATTGCGCTTCGCCTCGCACTGACGAGGTAAGTCTGAACAAGGGCGAAGGGTTCATGATCACTGTAATGCAGTGTCGCGGTTAGTAAGGCGGGGTTCAAGGGGTCAAGGGCAGAACGAAAAACGTCATTGGCAACTGAAAAGGCAGCCATCCTTTTGGCAAAGCTGGAAGTGCATCCAGCTTCCAGGCAGGACTGCATGCAAGACATCAATGGTGACAGGGAGCCAACGGATCTCCAAGCGCAGATCTTCACGGCCCAGAAGGTCAAGACTAACAAATTGGAGATCGTCGGAGACCCAAACTCCCGGAAGAGGCATTCTAGCAGCCTTTGACGTCGGCCCTGCCAGCTAAAAGGGTTACCTTCAAGGTCTGTGCCCCTATTCTAATCGGCACTTTCCCTCTTCTGACCTTTCCCTCTTTGAGGGCAATCTTGTTTTGACACGTCGAGCATCGCAGCCCGCCCGACACCTACGTTCATTGCCCTGCGAGGAGACCACCCGGTGCCTACTTTTCCAAGGCTCGTTTGCAACTGCGGAATACTCAGGCGTGGCGTGGGAGTATCCCCTTTTCCAACTGGTTGGGTGTTGACATGGGGTGACAGAAGACTCTGACGAGGAGCGAGAGTTCGCCTTGTTGCTGAACCACAGAGACGTCTGCCTGCTGCGGTAGGACAGTCGACGATATCAGGAGTTTCTTTTGTGAGGCTGCTTAGGCTATGACGAGGTCGCGGACTTGTCCCGAGGAAGAACCGAGAGTGGGGCACCACGCCCCACTGGTGACGTCTTTGTCGGCTTTGAATGCTCGTGGTACATATCCATCTTCAGAGCCATCTTCAAGGAGAGTCTTCTCAGCTGTACAAGTCCATGCCCAGCCGGAGCACCCGTCCAGAGGGGTGTGATCAGTGTAGCCTGGTCTTGAGGAGACAGCGAGACACCCTGGAAGATGATGAAGCTGACTCAGGCAGCGACGAGGGGGAGCACGACCACCAAGCCCAAGCCGTCCTCCAATCCAAACTGAATCAGATATTACCGTCAGCGGCCTGCATGCTGCAATTGCAGCCAGACAGTTTGATTGGCGAGTCTGCAGCCTTGAAACTGCAGCTCCAGTGCTCGAATGCTCGAGCTGCTTTGGCTGCTCTGCATCGTCATGTCATCTTGGAGATCTTGAAGGGGCTCGGGGAGGTCGAGACTTCAGCGAAATCGGAGTTCCGATGGAATGTTTTCAGAAAGCTTCTTCGAGCTCATGAGCAGCTTGTTGAAGATATGAAAGCAGAAGCATGGGCACTCGGTTTTTTTTGCACTGGCCTTGAGGAGGAAGGGTGTCCTTTACCATGCTCGAGAAAGGTTGCCAGGTGTCGAGACAGCTGAATGGCCTGGTGATGCTGCCGAAATCGTTTGCGCGGGCGTCACGGGGTGACTCACACAAGCCATCCAGTGAGCACTTCGCCTTACTAAATCGTGACTTGCTAGTTTTGTCGTATGTGTCTCGCGGTTGCTTACATGCCTTCAGGCTTGTGCAGCCTCTGTCTACCTGCCGATGGGCACGTATCCCACAGGGCTGAGCGTGACCTACCTGCAAAGAGTAACTGCTCAGAGGTGGAAAAATGACGGACATGCGTGCCTTCCACACGACAAAATGCCTGCTACATAGAACTACCAGTAGACTACCATAGGAATACCATACAGCACGGAACATGTCCGTCCTGCTTGGCGTGCATGCTCCACCCATCTCAGCAGATCATCCCAAAAACCCCACTTGTTCAGCAATCCGACTGGCTTCAAGTGAATGTTCAACCTCGTCAGGATTTCAGTCGCCGGGCGATTAGTCAGCTCTCGGGAAGCAACTTGCTGATTTCAGATTGTTCAATCGAGGAACTGTGTCCATGTGGCAACTTCGGCAAATTCTTCAAGTGTACCCCATCCTCCAGGAAGGGCGATGAATGCGTCAGCCAGTTCGGCCATGAGAGCTTTCCTGCATAGCAAAAAATACATTGTACAACTGTTTGTGCTTCATTAAAGCAATGGAATGGGAGACGCGTGGAGACCCTCTTTTCGACGTTGTTGGGCCCACTCCTTTCGTGCATGGATTCCACCACCCGCAGAGAGGTGCAGCCAGTATGAGCGACTTCCTTTTCGACCAAACTCCTTGCGGAACACAAAGGCGAAGAGGGTTAAAAGTAGATCCTGGACACTAAGCTTGGAGGTCTGCTGGTTTTCCGTGCATCTCTGAGTTTCCTTCAAGGCCAGGTGACATGGCCCAAAAACAGAAAAACAAAAAACAAGAATCCCCTACTTCTAAACAGTCAAGCCGCGAAGCTTCCGCGTATTCAATCTGGTGGCAAAACTAATCTGAACACCCTGCCCTCTCCACGAAATGAATGGGACTTCAAGTCTGCTCTGTTTGACCCTTGCCCTTGCCTTGGGATAACACCGATGACTTCGCCACCCTTGGCGAGTGCCGCATCTGCCATGGCGCCCATCATGCCCGCCTTGCCACCGCCAAAGACCACACCAATGCCATGCCGGGCCAGGGCCGCTCCCAGGTCAGCAGCGCACTTCAGATACCTCGATCACATCTACTGGCCATCACTCAAGCAGTGTCGTTTCGCCACATGCATTCGCGAAGCCTAGATTTCTTTGCAGTCCCCGAGAACAACGGAACCGAAACCCTCAGAGAGTTCCTCACCGGGTGGGGCACACCAAATCCAAAAGCCAAGGCGATTCTTGAGAAACGAACCCTTGATAAAGGCCTACAGAAGGGTTTGGGGGGGAGGGAATGCTCTGCTTCCTTGCTTACTGGATGACAGGAGACCAGGCCGAGACGGGGTGGGGATGGGGGGCGGAGATGTAAGCTGTCTTCTAAGCCCTGCCACGCTCCATCCACTTGTGAGCTGCTGCCACCATACACACAGATCCGGTGGAAGCTCCTCCTCTCCTTAAATGCCGCAAACCGTGCAGCGAACCCACAAAAAGGACTGGCCACTGACCGACTTCTCCAAACTTTTAAAGAGCAAGCCTCATCTGCCATGCTGCTCCTTGCCGGTCATTGAGTCATGTCAGCTGGCTGAGGCTGGCTAAGGCTGAGGTACTCATCTGTTCATCTGCTGAGCCGAAAAAAGCTCACCAAGGCAGAGTCACTTTTTGTTCCATTCCGTCCATTCCCTCAGCAGCCTCTGCTCTTTTACGGGGCTCAAGAGAAGCGAATTTCGCGTGCCCCTTCTCTCAGAGATTCGAGACATCATGTTCTCAGCTCCCCCCTTCTCCCCTGCATGTCCTGTCTTGGTTTGGCCTCCACGGAAGGTGTGTCAGATGGTTGTCGCCTTAGCGAACCCTTGATCCAGACACGTGATGTCAAAGCCTTCAAGCTTGACGCCAAGATCACATCGAAACTTCAATGTCATTCAAAACATTACTCCTCCTCATTCGGGTAGCTTCTCTGCCCCCCCCACCCCCCGCCCCCCCCCCGCTAGCTGTACAGCCTCCTCAACAACCTTGCACCGCCCCTAACGAACCCTGGACCCCCTGCACCTCGTCCCTAACCAGCCCTACCCCTGCACCTGGACGACCCCTGCAGCCCCCCTGCACAGAGCCTCCCCGCAAAGGCCTCCAGGACCAGAATCGGCTGAAAGTCTATTTTCATTCGATTTTCGGGCGGAGAAGGTGACGGATGAAAAAAGAACTTCAAGCCTTTTAGAAGAAGGTCTCAACAGGCGGCTTAAACTTAATCTTAATCCCCTGGATCTCTCAGGCGGATGAAAATCGATTTTACACCGGCTGGCAAGTTGCACGGATAAAGTCGATTTTGTGCCGATGGACGAAACAACAGCTTAAAATCGATTTGAAACCGGTTTTGCCGCTGGCACAATGAGCGGCGGGGCTTGAAATCAATTCCAATCCAGCCCAGCTCAAAACCGATGTTAAGCAGCCAGCCAGTGCCGGGCTAGAACGGATTGAAATCGACTTCAATCCGTTGATTTGGTCGTCGGTTACGAGTGAATCTATTGGATTACAACTGATGTTAATCGAAAGTGAAGATCGACTTCCAGCCATATTCGGTAGCTCCATCCCCCCTGACCACAGATGATCTACAAGTAGTACTGACATGTTGTGGCCTTGGCCGCGCAGTATGGAATGTGCAAATACAAGCCAGAAAATTTTGCTGCTGCTAGTGCAGCACAAGTCACACCATCTGCAAAACAGGCCTCAGCAATCCCGTGCAAACGTCAGAACTTTCCCAAGTACACGACTTGAGCACCGTACATGGAAACAGGCCACCGCTGCGATGGCGTCGGGCTGCTTATCCTCACCAATGGGGGAGCCTCCGTGGCACAAGCAAAAATGAAATGCCACACTATGACGTGTGATGACACGTGGCTCTGCCGGCCCTGTGGCACTAAACAAGCTGTTGCACCAAGCGCTTGATTCTTTACCAGCATGCTCCAAAAATTCCGGCTGTTGGTTGGAGAGAACTGGCAGTGTCTACGCGCATGTGTCACAAAACGTGGCATTCATGCAGGCCTGTGCTGGAGTTGGCACTGTCATGGGTGAACGCACAGGTGATACTGTCCGAGGGTAGAACTTCCTCTGGCAGACTTCGTGGGCAAACAGACGTGCAGCGGATGACAGATTCGTCCACGTTTCCTTATCTGCCCGTCTTCGTTGTGCGCCGGCATGGCCTGCATGGAAAGGCCAATGCTTGCCCTGCTGCGCATGAAACACGGTGAAACACGGTTCAGGGCGCAAGAAGATACAAGAAGCATCAAGAAGCCGGCTCTGGGGACTGCTGCCGACCTTGATGTGCTGATCGATGGGCAGAAGCGGCGGTCGCAGTAGCGTGGCACCAGGAAAAACGATGCCCCTGCTGGCACTGTGAAAATGACGACGCAAAGAAAATGCAATCACAGCACGTCGCAGGGAACCTGGAAGTTCGCACGGCAAGAGGAGAGCCTTGCCTCACTTCAGAAGTTCAAGTTCCATCGCTGGCACAACAGAGACGACCGACTAGGGCAGGCAACCTTCGCACTCGTTGCTCAAGCATGCTGGCCACATGTTACAGCTTAGCAGCTGGGCCAAATCCAACGAATCCAGACGGAAGCACAAAACCAGTCTCCCACCGGACTAACATCGCACAACGCCAATGACAATGCCAATGCCAGCACACTGGCAGCAAACAACCCATGGAAAGGGAAGATTGAACAAGCCTTGAAGGCGAAAATGCCCTCACAGCCGGAGGGCCTGCACCTGATGATTCGGGGACATCGTTTTCCCCCAGGCCCATACTGCAACGCTTTAAACGCCTCTTGCGTGGCATTAATGTTTTTCTTGGTGCCCCTGCGCACGTGCATAGGCGACACCCAACGCATCGGAACTGGAGACATGGCTCGGCCTGACGATACGAGTGTGACCTCATTTGTGGCCTCATGTGGCCTGTCCAATCTGCACAAGCCCGACAACAATAACTCAGCTCAACTCGTTCGAGCTGGTATCCTGATGGTGGCAGTCCTATCACTGATTGAACACTCGTGAAAGCCACGAGGATGATCAATGTTACATACTCGAGTAGAAAGAATGCCATGGAAAGCCTCCACGAAACGTGGACACGGATCTCGTGCCATATTTTGTGGCCTGCGCATGTTGTTGGAAGCGACCACGCACACACAGCACTGGCACCCCCCAGCAAGCTGGCAAACATGCCAGCGCTTCAGGCTGCAGAACGAAGGGAGCTGCTGGAACAGCGAACCTCTAGCTGATAATACACTTGCAGCTCTACAGATCTTTGCAGTTCTTTGAATGTTCTTTGCAGATCCTTGCAGTTCGTTGCAATTCTTGCAGTTCTTGCATAGGTATGTCATCCTATCAAGCTCCAAGTTCCCCGGCAATGCCGGCCGAGGGCCGGCATCTGCAGTGGCCTTGGCTAACACAAAGAACCTTACACAACATGCAACTCATGTGATTCATATGTGAATCACATGCGACTCATGTGAGTCACGTGCACCACACTGACGGCCGTGCGGGAAACACTTGAGCTGCTGACATGGCTCACGGACTTAAATGTGCTAAAAAACTATAGGCTGGCCCACGAAGATGCGGGCGCTTCCTTATCATACTGTTGCACCCCATTGCTCCATTGACCACGCCTCACGCTGAGCTGTGCCAGTGTAACACATGTGATGTGAAATTACATATGACAATGCATCACAGACCTCTTACTTAATTGGTACAGCCTCTTTGGACCATGTTGGGAACCTGTTGTACATCAGCCAGAAAGACAGATGTACACGGAAGGCGCAGGTGATAGCAACAATCGTGCTAGAGCATGTGTCGACACATCAATTGTTGGATGGGACGTAATGAACCTGCCTTTTTGCGGATTGCCATAATCCACGGAGGTTTTCGACTGCTGGCGCTCCTTCGAATGCCGCGCGCCTTTTGTACTTCACACGCTGCCGCGGGCCAGCATGCCCAAGAAGTATACTAACCCAATCTCATGGTTCTGCGTGCTTGGAGGAGTCACGCTTCCCCTAAACAGCCATCTTTCAGTACCAGAATAACAACTTTGCTCAAACAATCTTGCTAACTTCCGAGAAGTCTACTCAACCCTTTCTATGCCGAACCCTACACCTTAGTGCTACTGGCACTTGAGGAAAAGAAGGCTGCCTGTAAGGGATCAGAAGGTCTTGCCAAAGCTATCACGTCTGTCACTTCGCCCCGAAGGGCCTCTCCTGAAGCGATCAAGAAAATGATGCTCGGTACTCACTTTGCACGCACATCTTGCAATTCAAAGAGTCGCTTCGTCCTGGATACAACAGCCAGTGCATCTGTCCTCAAGTCCTGCATTCCACATGCGCACTGGAGACTCTTGGTAAAGAACATGGAGCTGTTCGTCTTGCTGTCTGCACTCGAAGGTCCTGGTTCTGTCCGTCTCTACCTGGAAAGCCCGAAGAGAATGAGCATCACACGGCTCAGAAAAGCCAACTCGGGGCACTGAACAGAAGCCAACTGTACATCACAAGCTGTCTCTACTGGTGCAATCCAAATCACTTGGCTTGTTCGAGGACACGCATTGCTTCATCCACCTACACGACAGTGAGAATGTCTTCGAAAGAACACGTCTCTGTATCTTGGGCTGCACCACAGCCACAGCGCCTGCCTTCGCCTTGAGCTGGGGCGGGCTGTCCAACAGGATCAACAACTCAGAGTTGTCCATCTCGAGCATCATGCCTGCTGACGAGAAGGATCGCTTAAAGCTGATCGCAAATATTCGCAAACCCTCCGGTTTCCTCTCCGGATCCCGCCGGTCCTGTGATCTTGCCCGCCAGCTCGGGCTGGAACTTGGAGATGGCCGGGAAAAGCCGCTCACCGATCATTTGTTTCTGCACCTGAGCTTCGAATCTTTGACATCAGCAAGCGCAGCAAAAGCTTTCAAAGATGCAAACTCACACTAAGCCTCCACAGAGAATGAAGGTCCCGGCACGGACCCCAACGTCACGACCCGAGCGAGCAACAAAGCGTGTGTTTGGCATGAGAAGGTCGCACTGGACGACGCAAGGCTACAGGATCTTGAGCCCTGAGCCCTACAGTAAAGGTCTCAAGGGGATGAGGATCTCGCAGTGGTGCTTTCACGTTGCCACATGTGTCGCGCTCATCGCTGGTCTTCGGATCCTAGAGGCACCCTCCACCCCGAGCTTGTTCTCAGGGAAAGTGTCCAGGCAAGGTTAATAGCAACTGGCGTTGTCGCAACACCAGGACATTGTGACTGGGGCAAGCAGGCTGGGCGTAGCAGGGCGTAGCACAAACCAAAGCTGGCTTGTCGTGCTTTGTCCCATCGTCATCGAGAAAACGAGGGCTCGGGTTTGTCAACCAAAAGGCACAAAAGTAGGCACAAGCGATCTAACGACGCTCAGCAAATACTGATGACGACTTGTGATTGGCTTTTTGGTGTACTTCATGCAGTGCGGAACTAGGCTCTGCAGCGACGCGCTCCATATTCAAAAGATAGAGTCTAAAACGGATGTGGCGACTTGCATT